ATAGATTTTTCGAGCACATCAACTCGAAGGTAGAGGCAATTCAATTCACTTATGAATTGGAAAGTCAGGAAGGGGAACTTCCAATGTTAGATTGCAACGTAAAAAGGAAAGAAGATGGGAAGCTAAACACTAGTGTTTACAGAAAACCCACACATTCAAACAGATATTTGGATTTCCGATCATCCCATCCTATGTCAGTAAAAATAGGATTAGTGAAATGTTTAAATGACAGAGCACAAAAACTAAGTAGTACCAAGGAAAATCTAAGACAGGAAGTGACACACATAAAAGAAGCCTTGAAACTTAATAATTACCCGGATAAATTAGTCAAGAAATATGTAAGTAAATGTAAAAATAAAATAAATAATGATAACAGAGATAGTGATAATAATAATAATAAGATAACAATAATAATAATAATGGTAATAATAATAGTGATAATAATAATATTAATAACGACACCAACAATAAGGAATGTAAATCATCAACAATAATTCCATACAAAGAAGGAACCTCGGAAGCCTTACGCAGAATTCTTAACAAGGCAGGAATAAAAGTGGCATTCAAACCCACAAACTCAATTAGAAACAAGCTTTGTCGGTTAAAGGATCCTGTAGAGCCATTAAAACAAAACAATTTAGTTTATCTAATACCCTGCAATGATTGTGAGGTCAAATACATAGGTCAAACTAGTAGAACAGGGGCAGTCAGACTAGCCGAACATAAAAACCTAGCTAAATCTAGATTGGTTGACCCGAATAAGATAAGAAATCTAGAGAGTAGTTCAGCTATAGCACTACATGCAGTTACACACAACCATACAATAGGATGGGATAGGATGACAGTTTTAAAATCTAATGTCACAGGGTATAGGGAGAGATTGATAACAGAAGCTTTGTTTATCGAATCAACTGCAAATACATGTAATAGGAATGATTCAACACCTGTCCCAGATATATGGAAAATTCTACTGCCCATACAACAAATAGGAGAAGACAGAGAAAACTATAAAAATCAAATCTCGAAGTCGTGTGACAAAAATTGATATGATTATGAACAATAAATTGTGTTCGAAACGTCATCCAGTATACAATACTGTTTCACTGTGTGATACATTTAATAATCAAACTAATATGGAATTACTTAATACCACAGTGCCCAAGTTTTACACATATATTAGAGTTAGAGCTGACTAGGAACAGACGATTTTGTTAGCAAAGCTGTAGAGGACGATCAGTGTTGTCGGTTCGTCGGCAGGGAACTCCAAACGTACCACCTACATACTTCTCAGACTGGCATGACTTCTCTACTTGGACAATAAAGTCGCCTGCTGAAACAACTCTATCTGGACATTTTGCTTTTTGAAGCAAATTAGACAGTTTCAGGTGGACATCATCCTTTACTTCATCCAAACTGCAAGCTGTTGGAGCGTAAGCAGAGACTAGGAAAAGGCAACGACGGGTAGCGCCGTCTTTCCTTCGTTTAACGGCCCCATTCATACGGACCGCACACATACCACTATCTACTGGGATCGAGTCTAGAAGTAATTTTTCTACCCTAACGCTCAATGCTATCGCTACACCAGCTAATCCTCGTGAACTAGCTGTGGTGTCTCCTGACACCCTCAAGATGAATTTTAGAGATTTATCCTGTTGGCCGGGTGGGTTTAGGTGAATAACCACACTTGGGTCTTGTATGCGTGTTTCTCAAACAGAACATACACCCATGGCTCGGGATGCCAGAGTCTTGGATAGTGATGCTTGTTGTTCTATTTGGCAAAGTGTCCTAACATTAAATGCCCCCATATGAAATTGGCGGCGTGGCTTTAGGAGACATTTTTGCAAGCCGCCATGCAATTATGTTCATGGTAGCTCAAAAATAACTGTGCGTCGGTGGCACAGTGGTTAGGATTCTCGCCGACCATGCACATGGTCCGAGGTTCGATCCCCTGCCGACGCACATCTGATATCTATGGTCGGCCTGAAAAATTTGGGCTTCCGATATCCATGCTGAAAATTCCATACTTGTACCAAAATTACAGTGTGGAATCAAGTTGTAATCAAAAGTAAAAGCAAAAAGTAAAGGACTGTCGGTGGTGGCTTTTTGGCTTCCGTCGTTTTTAGTGGACACAGAGTGAAGAGGAAGTGAAGAATTATCAAGTAGAGTAGTTGCATCAGTGGAAGGAAGGCAAGATGATAGAGATGAATATGAAGACAAAGATGAGTGTGGATTAGAGGGGTTTCGTGTGCATTTCGGATTGTGAGGGCGATTGTTACTTCTCGGCTGCCCACACCGTGGAAGTTGGTTGCGTGACTGTAGAGCTCAGGGGACAACTGCTTGAGGCCGGTAACACGCGGCCTGTTTTTGTTTGTTCTTTATTGTTTGGTGTGTCTCAGTAGCATATTTATCACTTCTGTCCTGTGACATGGTAGCAGGAAGCGCGGTCGTTGTTAATCCGGGCTACGGCCGATCCGACATGATATTTTGTGGTTTTGTATGTATCATAATGTTGGATTGGGTAGCTGCTTTTTGTCTAATCGCTATCCAAACAACCTTTCTGGCATGGTAGGACCTCAGGTGACATAAGTCTCAGCCAGTATAGCTTGTTAGGTCATTGCGGTGTTCAAGCCCGACCACCACGTCAAGGTAGCAGCTTTCGATCGGGTGATACAAACTTAGTTCAAACACTCGTTTATATCACGGAAATCTTCAGGAGAATAAGAATTGCTTATCCGTCACTACCAGGTTTTCGTCTTCTTGATTACTTAATTCAATTTCCCTATTCTTCTCAAAGCATCTAGCTGAGAATCCCAATCATTGAAACAGACGGACGTAGTACTACTCAGAAATACCTCAAAACTTACAGTAATCTCATTAACTACTACTATCACTTCACTCACCCTCGCTGACGCACACCTGATATCTATGGTCGGCCTGCGAATTTCGGGGTACCGATATCCACGCTGAAAATTCCATACTTGTACCAAAAATACGGTGTGGAATCAAGCTGTAATCAAAAATTATATATATATATATATATATATATATATATATAAAACAATCCAAAGACATATATTACACGTGAATTTAGATAGAAAACCTTGATCAACACACTCTGTGACAGCCTAGGTCCGCTCAATTAGCTGTTTTCGTTATTGCAATATACATAACATACTAGACATAACACATATGTATATATTACAATACTACAACCAGTTTCTGAAGCAGACTCACTACTAAGTCAAAGTGAAGATCTTCGATAACTCCAACGGAATACCTACCAACATGTTTTCTAAGTGCACACCACATTTTCGTTTTGAAGAACACAGAATACCTACAAATGTGTGCACATACAAATGCATGATGATACTCCATTAAGGTCAATAGTCCTCCAGAAACCAATTATCTGTCAACATAATTTGTTGGGTACTTCCTACACACAAGCCCGATTACCACATCAGGGTGGCATTCACCATCTTGGTGTAATTACTATATTTATGGTCTGATAAAAATTGGAAATTAGTCTTATTTGCTAGTCTATTAACAACTCTTATCCTTATCTTATCACCAATATGAAAAGGAAACGAAATCTAATAGCCGTCCAAATCAGGTGAAACAGCTACAAAAACATTTTTAAAAGCATACAATGAAGTCTGATCAATTGAGTCGAGCAAAATTAGCAGAGATAGAGTTCGACCAGGCATCTTGAGATTACAGCATGATCGAACACCTCAGTCATATGTCACGGTGCAGACAAATCATTAATGCCATGTTACACATTTAACACTTTGTATGTGCATAAACAGTAAGTGACAATTTGCATCACAAAAATATCGAGGTCTAAAAATTTGGCATTTCTACTTTACACCAAGTCAATCATTTGACAGTGGAACGTGGAAGTTACCCAACTTAAGATGTTTTTATACTAGAATGCGTTTGAAATACAAGACGTCATCTCTGACAGAACAACCTAATTGATTTTTGCATCGTGGATAATGAATAAGAATACTTTTATTATAAGAGGCTCTATCTACATAAAAAGCATACATCGTTAGTACACAATTATATTTCACACAAAACAGTAATTGAATTAGGTCAAAAATCTATTCAGACAAATTCCAATGTAATATCGAATCGGTTTATTCGACAGTGAAGCGTAAGAGTTATCCAGCTTGTGATGTTTCCGCATTGGAGGCTTCTAAATTCTGAGGAGTTTGATGCCTAATAAATCGTCGAAGGAAGGATACTCCCTCGCTTAGTTTATGTCTGATAAGATTTTGTTAATGACGCTTGGTTACTATTAATCGTCAATTAGTTCAAGCGACAATGATGGGAGGCACTGGGTTTAGATAGCAATGATATGTCACTTAATATTTATGGAATCAGAACATTGGAAGTTTCCTCCTGGCTGTTTGAAAATACCTGTTGTTAGTAGTAGCCTCGTGACATCTGATTCAGTTACCTTTGAACATTCAACAAACAAAAGTAAGAAGCTATTCGGCACACAACTCTTATCAGGTTGTATCCATAAGACGTCATTATATTTTAACTTGATAACGAAGATTGTACAGAGACGAAGAAAACTTTGTATTGTAAGCACATTTTAAAAATTTGTGTGTCGAAGCACATCTGTTTTGAAAATCAGTGCTTGCAACTGGCTATACTCATCAATTTTCATTTGAAAGACCTTCCAATTTATTCAAACATAATCTAGAGTGATAATTGAGGAAGTCGATTCGATGCCAAGTCACAGTCTGGATGTGGTGGATTCACTAGGTGATTTAGTCTGGAATCGCATGTGCAGATCTGCGTCTCCCGTTTGAACTTCTGTCGAATTACTTCACGGCTCAATCATGTGTCATTGGCCTAGAGATTACTTCGGATATTTAGCCAGTTTTACTCAAAACGAGGTTCGATAGCAAGATGAGTTACCATCAATTGACTGGCCAGTTCAAACACACCACCCGTCCTTACGAAACCTTAATATTTGGTTGAATGTCTCATAAGCATATCCTCTGAGTGAATAATGAGTGTTTGAGTCGCGCAGGCAACTTAAGTTTCTTCACGGTTGTGAATATCTCACTGACGACTGATGTTAAATTCCGACGCATTTCGTTAACTGAAGAGAAGAACTTGGCAAATGTTACAGAAGATGAACTCGATTGTGTGTTGGGTTTCCGATTACTGACTAAAGGCTGTTTGCTGTTCGTCTTCCTAATTGATACTTTAGGAACACTGCCAGTACTATCAGTTTCGCTCTCATGCTCCAAATGTTTTAGTAGGTTCAGAGAGCCAGCAGAAGGCCGACGTAAAGCGGAGACAAGCTTGCTTTCAGCTTCGTTCAGTTCGGCTGGTGTTTCATTAGACTCAGACGAACCCTTTTTCTTGATACTATCCTTCGTGCTACTACTGATGGTCTCATTGACGACAACAGTTGCAAAATCCTTTGGTATCCTGGGATCATAATCTCCGTTGGAATCGGTAGTTTGACTACTGCTTACAGAAGGGAGGAAAGATGAAGACGATGATTTTGGCGTTGTAGGTGTTTTACCGTGTCCACCCAATCCAGTTGATGCATCGACTTGATAGCCAGCAGCTGCAAGTTTAGCTACGCTCAGTTTTACTCTGGCTGAAGGTCTAACAAAAGTTAAGAGAAAACAGAAGATAAACCAAACTAGAATAATTAACTGACTAAGAGTATCGTTACACTGACATCAAAAATAGTAAAAACGAGTGGTCCCGTGGTAATATTAGACATTACTAAGACTTCTGAGGATCACAGCAAATCCATATTTAGTTATATATTTTAAACAAATGCATTAATTCACTGTTTGGAAATAATCAGAGAGTACAACGAGTTAGTGACTTTGAAGGACACAACGCCGACTGAGAAACTAATTAATTGAGTTCAGTTTAGTCAACAAATTAGACACATCCGAATTCGCTCTCTGAAGCACATCACAGGAATATTATCGAATATTCCGTTCTTAAGCCAGTATGTTTTCCATTCGAACTGATGAATATTTATCATGAATTTTCTGTGTTCTCACCAGTTCATTCGAAGTGTAGAAATCATACATTTCGAATAGAAACCAGCATTGTGACTGATATTACTGATAAACATGTCTTCTTCAAAACTCCTCGTCTCAGATACTCAATTTCTACTGAGTTACAGTTTTTAACAATATTTCCTATATTATTACATATTGTAAAGTATCAAATAATAGAATGCTCCGGGAAACTGGATATTTTGCTTATTGTTTTGTAGTGAAGGAAGGCAAGAAACTTGGTAACGGATTTTTTTAATGAGGAAAAATGCACCGTATTTATGCATTTAAGGTCGGCTAAGTCAGCGGATAATAAACTGTTTGGATCGATTGCAAATTTTCCAAAGGCTAAACCTTGAGAGGAAAATTTGTGCAATTAGATTACCTCCTGACCACAGTGTAGACTGAATACGGATTGGAAGAATAAACACTTATGCCACCACAGCCATTGACTTTAAATATTTTTTTTCAAATTTCGGTTGCTTCATATCAATGTTTAATAATTTCCAATATAGTATTAGGAAAACACAATATTCAGAGAAGAGACTCTTTTCAACGAATTTATTACCAAGCTGTATATTCGTATATATATATATATATATATATATATATATATATGATTGCTAAGAAATTACATCCTGTGAAGAAGTTGAATCAAAGGTTTGAACGTATGTCCCTATCATTGTGTCTATATACTATTAATAAATCTTGTCAGCATCACACGCGGCAGGGTGACATCAGCAAGAAATGCATACAAATTCATACGAATGCATACAAACTTAGAGGAATTTATTTCACTTATAACCATCGTCGAATACGAAGTAAACAGACTTATTAATAAGGGGTCTGGGCATACTGTAGGACTGTCCAGTCTACACTAACCGGTAGCCAATGTATTTGTTAGATATGAAATTTTCGGTCGTGTACAGTGTCGCACTCAACACTGTTAAGCACTATGATTTTAATATTTTACATACATCAAGTCTATTAAACGGTGCGCCGGTAATTCAATGGTAAAGTGCTCGCTATTCATGCAGAACTTCCCAGTTCTACTTCCAACAGACGCACTTCTAAGCCTCGCTCGATTCAGTAGTCGATAATCAGGTGACAAAAAAGGGGAGATTAGTTGTGAGGCTAGGAACACCACTCTGGTGTTACCTACGATGAAAATGCTGAGAAATATATACAAAAAACCAAACTGGATATAAATTAAGAATAAGATTCGATGCCGTACACAACAAAGTTATATAGGAGAAGTGACTTCAAGCTTTGTTTTCTCTCAGGCATTTGTGATCCAGCCAACACATACTTGGGTTTATTTGTTAATGTGAAGATAATATTCCTATATCTCTTAATGCTCTCCATTGAACGACTAGTTAACAGAATGTTCCCACAAAATAAAGCCAATTCACTATACACCAAATTTATTTAATTTAAATAATACTTATCCATGCCCGTAAAATATGTGTGTTTCTACATAGATAAGAATGAATATTTTATTATAAGAGTAACACAATTCGAAATTCAACTTCAATGTTTAAAGCCTTGTGCTCCACTCGTAAAGGAATGAATACAACAAAAGGAAAAAAATGACATTACAATGAAATCAATGAAAACCGACAGAATGAGTTGCTTTAGTTTACTGAAAGCAATTTTTCGTGAACTTGAATACTGCACACCTGTTCAATATCTAGAAGTGTAAAAGTGCAAGACATTGACTATGAACGAAGACAACCATGCAACATAATTTCACCGGGAAATCACTTACACAACAGGTCTATGACCATTATCCAGTAAGAAATTCGTATTAATTGGAAGGGTATATACACCAGATTCAGAAGTGCCAGGTGGGTGATCACCAGAATATTGTGACCGGCGGGATCTTCCACTAAATCCAGGTAAACTGTCAAGAAATATAATGAAGGTACCCGTTGAAAAGGAAAACTCGATAGTTAGTAATTATTACGTTTCATAACAAGATATTGACAAAGACATGTTAATGATTGTATGGTATGTATGCATTGCACTTGAATATAACAAAAATAAATAGATTAGTCAGAAATATTTGATGGTGTACACTGTGAAAACCATGTGCGAATTTACTATAATTTTACAGTCTATAATATATCACTCTAAGTGAATCTATCAAAAAATGCCAATAATACTGAAAATAATATAAGATGTTTGTCCACAAGTCCAGAGCACAAAGCCGAATAAAGTTAGTAGATTGGTGTGCAGTAACCGAAAATGAATGACAGTAATCTTTAGATCTAAGTTTCACTAAATTGTAGTCTAGTGGCTGAAGCGCTCGACTTTCATCTAATAGGCCTTGGTATCGAGTCCTTCTTGACTTCCTTTATTCTGGCCTAGTGGATGGTATCACCAACCCTCACACAATACATGTAGCCAATAGTGTGGCTTATGAAAAATCTGTCCCAAGTAACTGAGTCCTAACTAAATGTAACTACACACCTTAGTGACATCCACAGGAATTCCGTTAACTAAGGGATTCAGTTCATCAGCTGCAGAGCTACTTACACCCTATTAGGAACGACTATATACAGAAGTCAGTCAGTGTACAGTATTCAGTGTCATTGTACTTATTTTGAAGTGTAAATCGAATTTTATTTGAATCAAAACACTCAAAAACGTAGTGTATTTTAATTGATCGTGAATTGACAGAAGTCAGAATTCAACGGGAGGCCACTGCATTCCATTTCAGTATCTAAATGATCAATTGGCTGGCCTCGTAACCTCAAAGTCCTAGGTTCCATACTGGTTGGGGTCACGGGTGCGTACTGATGAAGAGTCCCAAACTAGTATGAAACAGATATCCATCACTCTTATTCTTTCAATGGTTCTCTAACTGATATTAATTGATGATCTAAATCAAGATTAAGCGATTGGTTGTTGTTTGGTGACAACGAGTCTTTAAGCTTAGACCGTTTTTACCGATCATTCACAAACACGAAACATCACAGTATATCACAATGATGAGTATTTCAGTCTCAAGACAACAATCAAAACTTTGTTAGTAAAATTAGACAGTAGCAACAAAAAGGCTGTTATTATCAATGATTAATCACTTTAAAATCTCTGAATGACCATCGTGTTACATAAACTCACTTCAGAGTTTATTTTATTAATTTATTACATTTAGTATCAGAATGTTTCAATAATCGTATCTTAAAAATGCTAATGCACACTATTCAACAAGACAGGATGATGCGCAGCATCGGATGCGTTTTTTCATATAACCATATAAATGTAAATCGAAAGGACCATGCACGTTTAAGGATTTTTAAAAAAATCAGCAATCACTTGAGAAACTAAACAGTAGCGATCCAAACAACGGACCTAAGTCAACTGACGTAGTGACCTAGATCAACCAATCAGATGAGTCCAATACTAAAATCGCGGATATCTAGATGTTGTACACGAACAACGTTTCAAATTCAGTCAAGAGGTGGTACCTTAGTACTGTACAGATACTAGGCTTATAGGAAGCTTGTAAGTGCGGAGAAGTACTGTCTTTACAGATATATGCAGCCTCTATCGATGAATATGTGTACTGATGTCGAGCCTGTTGATACAAAAAATCTGCTCGAGTAGATATGTCGATGCTTTTTTAGGTTCATGGGTACTGCGGAATAATGAATGGATCACGAAACAGCATAATATACAGTTACCTGGATGAATTTATGTACAGAAATAGGTTTAGATTCCTACCGAAGACTCCAATAATGAAATAGGAGGTTTTCTTGGGACACACGAGAAAGTTACTTTTCGACACTGAATTTGATGTTCATAAAAGTTTTTTAAATTACGAGTGTTTACTATGGGCTCGTCTGATTGGTAGATCAAGGTTATTACGTCCATTCACTTGAGTTCGTCGTTCGGGTTGCTACAATTCATAGTTACCACCACTTGAATTACCATGCAGCTAACGAGCCACGCGCATTGCGTGACGTACAGTAGTACTACTTGGCCGCCAAAACCTCGGTAGGTGGAGCCAATGAATGGAAGCCAAGAAACCAGACCGATCAGCTACAGCTTCACATGTTTGGGCGTTGGTTCAAATTGACAAAATTCAAGACTATATTGATAACGTTTGTATCTATCTTGGATGGCACTAATAAATGTTTTTACATGTGGATTGTTATCAAACAAGTCTACAATAAATTGTAATTAATGCATGCATACATATACTACTTAATAGTATCACATTAATAGCTTGAAGAAAAAATTGTGGAAGAAATTTAAACTCTATAACTCCACACAAATAAAGATAATGAATCACTTATTTTCTAGAATATGTCAACGTTCTTAACGAACATTTGGTTCTTCTATACAAAGATGTTATAGCTTTCCGCTACGGTAAGAAAACCTGATTGCTAATAAGTAATGATGTTACTTACACAGAAAAAAGAAGAGAAGCTTAGTAAAATTCGGTAGCTCAAAATATGCATTTTTACCTTGCACTCACAAAACCTGGTCGAGATGAACTTGCTTCTATGTAGGCCTTTTTCACATGAAATTCGCAATAACGACAAATCGTTCTGAAAGGATAAAACAAAAGAAGTAACAGGAGAAACACTAAGCATTAATAACAGGAAAACAATCAAGATTTCAAATAACTACTACACAAACTACAGAGCAGAATAAACCAAGGAAAAAAGTAAATGATTTGTAAAAAATGTACAAGCATCAAGGAGGGGGAAGGATATAGCGAAGACAAAATATAGGAAAAATATCTACATACATCCAGACGATAGTGAACCCTGTTATCAAAAGACTTCACCTATTAGTTACTAACACCCAGCGTACCATAAAAACCACCAACAAAACTTTAATTGACTCAAAACAGCAACTCTAAACTTCATACAGTGATGATCAGACCACCCCGAATTCTTGTCTTGTCCAACCATTCAAACAAAATTCCATACAAAACCAATACTTGAAAATTAAACTAATTTCGCTTCAACGAGCATTCCCCACTACATAGTATGACGTTCCAGGATGCACAGCACAAACATCCTAGCTGGTTTAATCGATGAATTATTGATTCATTGACAGACTGACCTTTCTTATTTAAACGTACTACAATTAAATCTCACATTACACATTGTGTGAGTGAAATTGAGAAACATTTCGACAACACATGATAAAAATCCTGAAATATTTTTATATCTTCTAATTTTGAAAGCTAGATCTTACAGATATAAAGTATGACGGAGCAAACTACTGAGCACTAGTCCTTTTTTGTAAGGTTGCCTAATATCATGTCAACACAATTTTGGCGAATTCAAAAAAGTTATTTTCATTCGTTATGAATTTTTGTTAGAAACTACTCACACAAAGAATTTAGTACTTCACCAAAAATAAATTACGTTGTCCTTCTGAAAATGACATATGTATGTGAAATGAATATACTAACTGACTCGTGTTTGACTTCCAAAGGGAACATGAGTGTCTTTGGGACTCGAACTCGCCTTTTTAATAAGTATTGACAATAAATCTGGAATAAACATGGCTTCCTGTTTATTAAATTATTACAAAATTCATTGACCATGACCATTCGAAATTACATTTAATGTAATTTAAAACAGTGATATTGTTAATAACGACATTTCTTTAATTATTGTGGTCATATAATTGTAGAAACTGATGATGAATTTATCGAAAGGGCTATTTACCAATGTTGTTGAACACTGAATCATTTCGATTAATTTCTCTGAAGAAGTTCGGACCAGATTGCCGAACGAAACGTTGGAATTAATCATTTCAATTTCCCTGAGATTTTACAAACATAATTTTATAAATTGAATCATTCGTTTATTCGAACTGGTCTCCATTTGGTAGGAAACAAGAAGGCTGCCGTTGCTGTTATGTACTAGTTTTCCCCGTCGCCAAATTTTTATGTACTCGTCGCTAAATTATTGTTATGGACTGGTCGAGAAACTAATAGTCCTGACGCGAGAAGGCGGAAATCAGAAGACCACTAGGTTTGCGATGATACTTCTATTGTCCAAACACAAGGAGACGAAAATAAATGGTCTCACACCAAAGTGGTAAGCAAGTCAAGTAGTTGTAAAGTAAAGTAGTTCACACAAATTGTGAATGCGAATATATATAAATAATTCAGACAAGCGTGGGAAAAATCATTAGACAGTCTTAACATGAATGGCTAATTATAATGGAGTGTCGATCCAATTATACATAGCGAATATAGCAGACATGCCAACAAACATATATGGATATATGTCACCAAGCAACGGACTGTCAACAAACACTCATATTATATATAATATAATATAAGGAGAATACACATTATTAAAGGAGACAAGTTCATACAAGTGAAGTGGTCACAGACTAACCGAGCAAACAGAAAGAGAGACCAACATGCACACACACACATAAATATATATATGTGGATACATATCACCTCCCCTTTTGAGAAGATGGATGATTAGTAGGATGTTTACCTGGGGGTTTATCTGGGACCTTTGGGCTTGTTGTTGACGCCTGTCGTTTCGTCTGATTGTTGGGTTTGCGGCTTCGGCTCCGTCCGGAATTGTCTAGCATTTTATGCTTCTTCACTGTATTGCGTAGAGAATTTAGTGGGACATCAGCCAGATGCAAACGATCGAACCAATCAAGTCCCAAAACATTTAAATCATTCTTCGTGACGTAACAAATTCCTGTGAATTTGGTATTGCGGAAGGAAACAGAACATTTGAGTTCACCAATTAGTTTGAGCCGCCCACCACAGGCGCTGAGAAGAGACTGGGAAGTATTGGTGATAGGTGGTCTGCCAATATAATTCCAAAGTTTCTCTGATATAACAGTAATATCAGAGGCAGTATCTAGCTGCAGACGAGTATCATGACCATTCATCTGAAGGTCAATATATTTCCGCATAGCTGGTGTTGTGACTTGACAGGTTGCACGTAGACTCAGTGATCTTTTTGGAGATTTAGGACCGACATTTTGTTGAGCTTTTGCTGGATTATGATATCTGAGTTGGCGTGGCTGACAAAAACCATTTTTGTGACCGATGATTTTGCACTTGCTGCAACGATGATTTTTGTATGGACAAGACTTTACAAAGTGCCACGCGCCACAATGCCAGCATGGTGATGGAGGGGTCTTCTTTGCCGTATTTTGTGAAGTTGGACGAGTATGTATAGATTTCCGCGGAACATTAAGAGAAGTAGGTGGGTCAGGAGTAGATGATGAGAGATTTTTGCTCTTGCGTAATGCACGAATATCAGAGCTTCTCGGAGGTGTTGATTCGACCAAGTGTGTGTCTTTCTGCAGATTAATCAGCCGTTGATATTCATCAGCTATGTCATGTAATGTTAACTTGGGATTTTGTTCTAGCTGATTGAGCAGTCGAGTTCGGATATCTGTGAAACGAGGAGATTGGAGACTGCATATGAGAATCAAGGCTTTGAACTGATCATCTGTTAAGGACCTGAGTCGAAATCTCTCACATTCTCGGTTGACTGTGCCAACGTGAGTAAGAAAATCATCATTTTCATTCATTGCCAGCTTGAGGCAACGATAACGTATACTGAATAATGAGGAGTGGTCTCCGAAATGTTCACGCAGCAACTTTATTGTATCATCGAAACAATTGTCACGTGGTTTCTGTGGTAAAATTAGGTTGCAGTACCGTTCATATTCTGCCGGACCCAATTTACGTAGCAAAACTCGCACCTTCCAGGCATCGTCTTGTGAGGCGAGATCAACAGTGAATAAATCCTCATAACGTTGATACCATGTGTCAAAAGTGACATTAGCCTCTGGGTCATAATTGAACTGTGAAATGCTGTTCACAATTCCGTCGACAGATGGTAGCATGGTATGATTGGGATTGCTTGAAGGTGGAGCTGGACCAGTCTGTTGGTTGACGAACATTTCCATTAATTTCATTTGTCGTTCAAACAATAATTCCAATTTAATAGGATCCATAGTAAATTGTTATGTTGTTGCTGCTGTGTGGTTAATAGTAGTTTTCCCCGTCGCCAAATTGTTATGTACTAGTTTTCCCCGTCGCCAAATTGTTATGTACTCGTCGCTAAATTATTGTTATGGACTGGTCGAGAAACTAATAGTCCTGACGCGAGAAGGCGGAAATCAGAAGACCACTAGGTTTGCGATGATACTTCTATTGTCCAAACACAAGGAGACGAAAATAAATGGTCTCACACCAAAGTGGTAAGCAAGTCAAGTAGTTGTAAAGTAAAGTAGTTCACACAAATTGTGAATGCGAATATATATAAATAATTCAGACAAGCGTGGGAAAAATCATTAGACAGTCTTAACATGAATGGCTAATTATAATGGAGTGTCGATCCAATTATACATAGCGAATATAGCAGACATGCCAACAAACATATATGGATATATGTCACCAAGCAACGGACTGTCAACAAACACTCATATTATATATAATATAATATAAGGAGAATACACATTATTAAAGGAGACAAGTTCATACAAGTGAAGTGGTCACAGACTAACCGAGCAAACAGAAAGAGAGACCAACATGCACACACACACATAAATATATATATGTGGATACATATCAGTTGCTTAATCGTATACTGGTTGCCAAAAGATGGAAGAAATACGATCGGAAGTACTAGTTTACATCATAGTAACGTTTATCTACAGACATTGCACGTAATATTTGTAATCTTGTTTAGTTATTGGTGGAAAAAAAACAATAGTATTTTACTACACCGTCTTCTGTTCTTCCGCGTCGGTTACCGTACATTGTATTCTGCCTATTAATGACTCAAATCAACCTTATCACAATTTCGTATCTATATTCCATTCTGAATTATTGATTACTAAATTTGAAATGAATTTATTGAACAGTAAATTCGTTGCTCAAATGGTTTTTTAATGGGTGATGAGCCAGTCTTCAAGTATTTCAGATGTAAATTTTTCCATTTCCTAATATTCAGATAATTCCACACATTCAGCATAATTTGTCCTAACGTCTCAAGAAATTCAAATAAGACAATAAAGAGTATATACAACGAGAAAACTGTAAAGCAAGATTTTTAGAAAAATTAATGAACATCCCTCTCGCTAATTCACTACACCACCTTATGACGAAAAGAATCCACACGGATTCTGAACAACCATCAAATGAGATCAAGAGGACTAATTAGAGAATTTGTGTTTCTTTCAAAAAGCAGGAATATAACAAACAAATATAACAAACAACCACCAATAACCAAGGTTGCTTTAATGAGAACTAATTACTTGTTAATAACATGAAAACACGATTGACCAGATTTTGTTGTTGCACTGCAAATCCCATAATCAGGAGATTCACCAAGAATCATAACATGCAACGGTGAGTCCAGTGTAATACCAACATCCTTCTCATCTGTAAATGTCTGAAAGAAGAGGACAAATACATTGACACAGATTATAGCAAGACCAATTTCATCATCCATCCAATCAAACAAAATCCCTACAAAACCAATACTTGAAAACTAATCTGATGCTCACCAGCGGCTGGCACTATTCAGGCACTGACCTGGGGTTCCAGTGGGAAGCTGTGACCAGTAGGGTACAGCAGGTTGAAGATGAGGCAGTAACTCATCGAAGAAGACATTGCGAAGTGGTCACGCTATGTCATGAATTGGCAAAAGTTAGAATTCATGGGCCACTGGATCGGGTTCAAGCGGCTCAATGGCCCACGAGCTCGCCTTGTAACCAGGAGGTCCTGGGTTCGAACCCCGACGGGTATGTACTGCTGAAGAGTCCTTAAGTAGGATGGAACAGTTGTTCAGTACACCCAGGTTTTCCAGTGGTTCTCTAACTGATGTCAGCTCATAATGAAATCCTCCATCCAATCAAACAAAACCCCTACAAAACCAATACTTGAATTCTCGGAAAGGCTTAAGTCGCCTTACTTCCAATCCATAAGTGACCTATATTCCGCTCATACCTTCCGCAATATTAGTGTGGGTATATCTGCTGAGGTCTCTGGGTCTATTTTCAGCAATTCTGGGGTAATTCTACCTCTTCCTGATGCTCGTCTGACCTTGAGTAGCTTTATGGCATTCAAGACTTCCGGTTCTGTAGGTTTTTAACGTCGCTACCACTGTGTGCGGTTGTCCGTAGAAGCGTAGCATTGGATGATTGTAATTCTCCTTCCTTTTGAGTTGAATCTTACCGTCATGATCCTGGGGACTAGTTTCCACTCCATAGGAGTCTCAGAACCTGTTGGTAACATTATGATAGCTACTTCCTTGGTGTGTTCATGGCTGTCGTCAGAGTGACATGAGATGATTATTGACCCACCAGTTAACAATTTGGCAAGTGACTGCCGTTACATCTACCCTCACTGATTCTTAGTTGTTTTATACCATATTCCCTGATTTCTTTCGCAATTTGAAAAGCCCTCATGGCTTCAAACATTATGCGAGCATTCCATGTCCAATTGTTTATTTTTGTTTTCATTGAGAGAAGACATCACATAACTTTTCCTCAAGGCTTTCCCAGCCGGCATTATTTAGTCTCTCCGATTCCAGCAAAGAATAAGTGTATATGTTTCCGTGCTTGAATTTTCTTCAGCAATGGGATTAGTCATCCGGCGTAGGGGTCACTAGCCCCAAGCTCAAATGTCCCTCTTTTCAGAGATTCAGGACAAACTAGTACACTAGGCCTCGTGCGTCATCATTGGTAATGTTACACAGACCATTGATCAAACTGGAATACAGAGTAGATGTGCATCATCATCGAAAAAAGCATAGAATGACAGTCAAACCTCTACCTCAACTTCAAAGACTTCAAAATGGTCTTCGACAGAAAGCGTTGACTGAGAAGTAATTTGGAAAGTACTTCAATACTGTGGCATGCAGTGCCCAAATCTTTAGCAAACCCATTCAACAACTATATGACAACACCACGTGTCAAATGATCCACAACGGAAAACTCAGCGAGACGTTCGAAGCGAATACAAGAGTAAGACAAGACTGGCTGCCTATTATCACCGATGATATTCCTAATTGTGGTAGACTACATTATGCATAAGACTGTGGGAAGCGAGGAGACAAGAATACGTTGGACTGATGGGAAGACTCGCAGATTATATATCTATGATGTCACACAAACTCAAGCAACAAACTGGCTGAAGAGGCAGGCAGCGAAGACAGGACTTTAGATGAACATAGAGAAGATGGAGGTGAAGATAACCAACGAACAGCAATAACAACAACCAGCACCAATCACCATCAACGGGACTGATGTGACAGCAGCTACTTCTTTCACTCACCCAGGAAGCATTTTTTTCAACAACAGGCGGAGCGGATGAAGATGTCAAAGTTAACCAGAATCGGAAAAGCGAGATAAGCCTTCATCAACTTGAAAGCAGGTTGGAAATCTTCTGCACTCCATGGCATAAAGAACAAGATTCCGATACTCAACACAAATGTTGAGCCAGTCTCTTATCCTATACTGGTCAGAAAATTAGAGCATCACGAAGAGCATTTCCAACAAGTTGCGAGTTTTATCAACAGCTATCTTTCTTCTATATTGAAGATCAAATGGCCAGAAAGAATTAGCAGCAAGAAACTATGGGAACAAAGTAACAAAGAACCTATCGTTTAACAAATATGTAGGAGAAAATGGAGATCGATCGGGCATACATTGAGGGGGGCGTCGAATGACATTGCGCGCAATGCAGGCCATTCTTCGAGTGGAATCCCAACAGGAAACGACGAGTGGGTCGTCCTAGGGTGACGTGAAGGAAATAGTGACAGGAGGAGATGACAGGTTATGGACAATCGTGTGCCTAGCTGATGGGGACAGCACCAATTAGAACAAAAAGATGTGTTGTCGAAGCCCTATGTTCCACTGGGAATCCAAGGAAACAATAATATAATAATAGTAATAAAAAATTTAATATTTTACAGGAGTACATGCCATGATGAAGTTACCACAAACGCAATACGCTGATTCAAAGACTTAGCCTGAAGTAATTTGGTGCAAGATGAATAGCAGTGGAATCTAGGATGCGCGTTTCGTCTTGCTTGGGACTCATCAGGATGTACCTAACTGGGGAATGCACGTACATTCAGTTGACGAGTCCCGAATAGGATAAAGTGGACACCCTGGGTTCCACTCCTAGTCACCATCCACCAAATAACTTCAGATTAAATCATCAGACATCGTCAGTGCATCCGCACAAGGAGCCAACATGTCAACAGAGGTTGAGCACTTCGGCGCAATCAATCAGCTGAAGATTGCAAATTAAATAAATGATTGAAAGATTATCAATAATAGAAAAGCGTAACGGAGGATTACTACATTATCATCAAAGAAAGTAATCATTTTCAATAATAACAATCACTCACCGAACCGGAGGCTAGTGAACGAGGATTAAGGACAGCAACTACGCTACCTTCAGTTTCCTTCCATAACTTTTCGTGACAATTACCAAAAAGAAACAGTTTTACACAACCCGATGCTGATCCTGGACCGACATGTTCCAAATTACTCAGGCACCAGACAGAATACACACGATCATTGCGAGAACGACGAGGGGGCAATTTCGATCCGATAACGCCAACTACAACTGCTTCACTGCAAATTGGTTTTTGAGATTTACTCACTGATTGATGACTACGATGGTGTTGAATATACTGAGGTAGAGTGAGCACTTCACGGTCTGACGTTCTGCTAATCCATAGTTCAGAAGAAATCCGAGCTCGACTGCGTAGAAATTCAACAAAGTTAATCATAGGTGTTTTCGACAAAAACGTATCTTTGATATGGAGGGGTTTTTCTCAATTATACTCGATTATCAATCACTCCTATTTCACATTAAAAATTACCATACAATTCATACGTTATAACTAAACTTGTACCACATATAACCGACTGATTCTTAGGAGAACGTGTTTCTGCCTTAACTTCTGCAGAAAAAGATTTACTACTACCAATAAAAACAGGGATATTGAAAAGCCCCAAGTCTATTATATATGTCAGGAAACTATTCTTCATGTGCAGTTGAAAAGATCTGGCAACGGTTATCACCACACATGTACTGAAATCGATTGATGGAGCTGGTACAGATGATTTGGAAATGCGTGATTGAAACACGATCAGCATGCAAAAACACTGATTGCGATTAGATCAACAGATCTCAGTCACAGAGTCACTGACTGTTTCTTATATACATATGCATACAGGATAATACAGTTCTGCAGAAGCAATGGCAATTCACATATTGAATCCTGAACTCTGCATACAAAAGAAGTTTGTTCAGTCACTCAATCTACAATGGTCCTGATCTATCTTAACACCAAATACGTAATTTTGTCTTACCTCTTTCTTCTTTGTTTGTCTATTTCTTAATTGCATTATTTTCTACCCCCACCCTCTATTAAATCTCTACGCTCATGACGACTGTTGCTAACTCGATTTTCGTTTATTTTTAAGTGAATTCTACTCAGCTTATTAACTTAACTCTCATTCATTTTCAAGTGAATTTTACTCAGATTATTAACTTGACTCTCATTCATTTTTTCATTGAACCCTACCAATTAGATTACGTCACCCAACCTACTTTTGTAACTTTATTTTAGTTTCTAACCGATTAACGCCTTCAAAATTACGTAATCTGTTTGTCAAAAACTAACAATTGCATTAACACATCTTTGGAAATATTCCTTTTGTTGCCAAGACAAATTACTATAAATTTGCGATTTGTACAGCTTGAGAATGATATCGCCGAAAAGAGTAACTCTTTGCTGAACACTTTTTCTTTTTTAATACAGTTCTACCTGAACATTTTTTTGAATATTCAAAAACAATGATCTAAGTCCTAAGTGGGACAGGTTGAAATTTAGTTCAATCGGACACTGTTCATCTACTTCTGACCAAAGCTTTGAAGAGTAGCCACTTCTTATGCTACGCTTAATTATCCCCACTCGACTAAGTTATTTTAATACACCTGTATCTCTCCTAATAAAATGCTATAACTTAACCTACATCGCAATTTCTACATTTATATGACCAACAGTAACTAAAAGCTTTTTGTGTACTATTACTCAGTAAGACAAGAAACGACATATTTTGAGTTAGCGTTTACATGACCTGTAAACCAGTCTATTCGACCGTAAGGTATATATCAAGGATCATTAATAGTCACCTTACTGGAATTTCGCCAGTGGGTGCTATCTCGTCAGAACATGGTTTATATACTAAACTAGTAATGTATTAATCGTGTGAAATAACTAGACAATTAACAATATTTTTTAGTCACATTCGCCTTTCCCTTGGAACAATGAATCTTTGTCTTATCAGTAAGTCTTTTCTATCTCACTCAGTGTGCGAATGGCACTTGAGTGATTAGCCGTATACTCTTGTGTGTTGAAGTAACGTTAAGAAAGAATCCAAATCCCAGCATTGTTACGTTTATAACACTGCCATATCCCTTACAGCCAAACAGATGGTCATACGAAGCATAAGACACTCGGTACACAGATGATTCAGCCACGAGTAATAATCTGGATTTTAACAGGCATCGTTTGCTAAGTACGTTATTAATGAGTGGTGCTTATTATTAATAACTAACACAAATTGAATTCATTTTATCACGGAAAGTATTCAAATATCCTTTGGTACTGACCTGAATACTCTTACGAAAATATACTCCTGTGAACAATTTAATAATTTATAGTCTCCGTAACAATTACACCCAGGTTCAGTGAGGAACTGACTCACTGGTTTAAGCGCTTGAAACGCTGGAGGCTGTTGGTGACATGATTCAAAACTGTACTCAATGGCATGGAAAAATTCAATTTCTCTAAACATCCAGATCCATTAAATTCTCATTACTCTCCATGTACTTACTCTTTCATCCGAACAATTCCTCTCATTGTAGTGCATCTGCATTTCACTCCCCCCCACCCTTGTGTGCTTTATGAAGTGCAGTAACTTGGAGGTCTGCACTTCTGTGCAAATTTCTACTTTGAAACTCACTCAGTCGGCACTGGATTTCAGTGAGTGAGCCTCACGGTTCGGATTCCGCTACACCTACTTCAGCTGAAGTAGGGCGGTTGACAAGTATAACCATCAACACACAAAAGTGTGGTCTTTCTAACCTCAAGGGGTGAACTTGGTTTCACACTCATCGACGAGTTGAAATAGGAATTTCAAGAACAAAAAACTACATCTCAGAGAACATTTGATTACTAACCCAAACCTACGAAATCTATTACGAAATAAAAGCTTCAGTGACTTACTAAACTCGTAGTCTTGTAGGCACTGCAAGCCAACAGTCTTTATCCCCTGCAGAGGAATGATTATTGACATTATTTGAGACAGGTGTAATAGCCGTGGATTTAGTCGGAACGACAGGACTCTTATTTCCAAAAGGAGTAAACGCAGCATTGTTTAGCGAGTTAACTAAAAGAGGAGACAGTTTGGAAATCAATTAAATAACGCTAAATAAACAAGAATATCTCAACTTTCAGACTGACTATAAAACTAAAACAACAATGTAGAATAGAAACATGAACACAACACTTAAGTGACGAGGAGAAGAAAATTGTTTGCTCAATACCCTCCTTTCCTTTCATACGTGGAATGCTACAATAACTCATCGTATTTACTGGTGTATTGAGAAAAACAGTAGGAAACTGACGTCGCCTACCTGACTGAGATGCAGAGATTATTCTGGAGAAGCAGAATCAGTCATCGGCTATTACTCCTCCTCAAGAATTACTTACCATTATAATACGTAATAAGTAAGATTTTCAAGCAACTGGTTGTAGTGAAGTACACTCACTTATTGAGTAATCAGTTAATTCGCATGGTTTCAATAGGTTCGACTGGCTTCAACTGAGATTATACATCATTGTCCCATTGGCTAATTGATAGAAATTAGCATTCGTGGTCCATTGGATTTCATCCCAGTGGCTGAATGGTTAACAGGCTCGCCTCGTCACCTGGACGTCTTGTGTTCAATTCTCCGTAGAGTTATACGTGAGTACCAATGAAGAGCTCCGTCTTAGCACAAAATAGCTGTTCAATACTCCCTGGTTCTCAATGGTCTTCTGATTGATGTCATTCCATGATATAACTTGACAAATACTCAAACTAATCAGTCGACACACAGGATGCAATGCGCCACGATTCACTCTCAATATCAGCACTGTTTGTTGCACATCTGAGGCAGGCTTCCAAGGTATACATCGGGAAGAAGGATACAAAATCTATTTCGCCTTTGTAACTAGTGTTCTCGATTCTTTTTACAACCAATCGAAATGCACTTCCACAAAAGCCCATTTAGCTTAATGTACAACCCCCACAATTCAAATTTCAGTCAAGTATTAATAATTCTTGTATGAATACAACTACTTGATTCAGAACCGTATTTCTATACACCTCACTCGCTCTTTCTATTGTAGGACTGCACATCTGTCCCTAAAATCTATTGGACCTTGTCAGTTTTGCTTTAAACTCACTTGCTTGTTTTCGTCGTAAAGCACATGCTGCCAACGCAGTACTAACAGACTTGTTAGTATTACTACCAGAGCTACCCGACAAAGTTGTCTTCAGCTCTTTCTCTTCCTCTTCAAGTTGAATCGCTTTGTTAACATGCTGTTCAATTAATTTGTTTTTCTCCAAACGCTGTTTAACAGTTAGGCATTTTTGTATACTGGCTCCATTCTCTGAAAGTCCATAGTCCTTCTCCTCATCTATTCAAACAAAAAGAAGTGGAGGGAAATAAATGAATATTTGGAAGAGAGACAATGAAGGACGGTGGCACAGTATAACGAAATAATAAGTTGTACAGGAAGTCAATTACTGAGGTATATGACAGTATCTAGCAGCCAACTTTGATTCTTCAAGATGTGCCAAGTTAAATTGACTTACGTAGTTAACGGAGTCAGAATCTATAGAAGAAATCCCTCCAAATTTAAGGTTTGGTTGAACAAAGAAAGTTTGGAAACACAGATCCCTTTGAGTAACTCTATCATGGTGTACTCACATTAGGAAATCCGTAACACCTAAATTTTATATGAAAGTTCAGACATAGAATTCCTGAATATTGTTCATATTACAATTAACTGATTTTCGTGATTCTGTAGATGTTATCATTACAAGATGAAAATCAACTTCACAGGTTTATACACAATACCTCTAAATAACAGACTAACCGTCTTCGATTCCCATCAATTCATTGAAATCATCTTCGTCACTATTATCATCGTCAACACCATCATCACTAAGATTGTCCACACCGAACAGGTCACGAATATTAGAATTGTTTTTCTTTTCATTCAATATCAAATTAGATGGAACTGGTTCAAATAGTTCATTGACACCGACATCTAGAGTTAAAAAAGGTGGAATAAGTGGAGGCTGTGCCAGTGTTTATCAAATGTCAACAATGAAACTGTCCTATACGCTTTTCCAAACAGTTTATAAGCCTTAATATGTTACGAATTATGAATTCTACAAATCACAGTTTGCATGTTTGCAAATATTCATGAAATCCCCGCTTATATCATGGCTGGACAATTTAATATTACATATGTCGTCTGTGAAAAATATCGACGTTGGTCACATTACATGTAAGTAGTGCGTCAATCCATCTTCAGATTGATATGATTTTATAATAAAGATTTAAACTAATCATTTGTGACAAGGAAATATGTCAATAAAATGATGTCCACATAACAACCGTTTAGTTTCCTCCTTTATAATAAAGTACTATCTGTCATGTGCCATTAGAATAAGCGATGTAGAGAACGCATGACTTTGTAAGGACAGATTGACTTGACTATATACCCATAATGGTCTATTGTACTTTGTATGAAAAGTCATTATCCATAAGGTAAAACAGCTCCCATCGAACAAAAACTTTAACAGTGTAATACTGAGCACTATTTACTTTCTCAAACATATTGAAGAAGTGAGACCAGCTCCTGCAAAGCATCTCCATCACATGGGTCAAAATGTAATCCTGTAAACTATAGCTTCCTATCATTTCGTCTCAAATAACGATAGTAACATTTTATGGATATTACTCGTATCACAACACACCTTCGGTTGCATCAATCTTAATAAATGTAGCTGAGGAGATATGAACAATTACCATTAGGATATGAAGAAAAGGGCGCGGAAAGTAGTTCGGTAAAGTATTTCAGTGAATTCATCCACTACCTTAAAGTATTTTCAACCATTGTATGACAACAATTATGCTTTGTATTGTCACTATTGTAACATCACAACACCGCAGTATTTGGTGAATTGACCTACAGATATGGTAAAATAGAAATACCTTGCTCTATTCGCACATACTCTCTATATTCCACTTCTTCTGTCTTCCTTTCATGTTTTCCATATTGTTTCAAAAAATCCCTCCTCTCGCCCCTCTGCTAATCAATATTATTCCAGGAGACATCAAACACGGCATACTGTAATGTGTCTGCAAACTCTTGTTGGTACCGCTGGCCAAACAACTACCCACTAACTGCTTTAAATAATCAAGCATAGAACCTGCTCACCACAACATTTGTCTGCATATATGACTGTATAACTGAGAGAAATGAATCGTCTCTTAGGCGAACTAATTTATTTACACTCCTCATTTTTCATTCCACTGAGAATATGAACGAAATATTCGCATATTGAGTCATAAGAAAAGGCACAAACAGCGAAGAAAGTTTTCTTTTCGACGATTCATTTTCATGAGCTGTACAATCGTAATTATAATTAAACACATAAGTTTTTTGACCAATCAGATACTGGTAAACTTTGTCCTTGAAAATTCTACTACATAATGTGAGGTGTAAGAAGGGATGACTAATTGTAAGTTAGAAAGGAGACAGAAGTTGGCATGACCTAATAAGTGTGAGATAATGACTAATCAATAAGCTAGTGTAGAATGGACAGGAACTATAAAGTATTTTTGTATAAGATCTGTGTGGAAAGCAATGCTATTAATAAACAGTAATAGAGTGGTAATAAAATGTGGATGGTGGGAATAGTAATAATAATAAAAGTATTAAGAACAGTAATAAAAATAATAATAAATAGTAGTGAACTTACATATTAAAAGAGAGGAGAAAAATTATAGTAAGAAATTTACTCTGGCCATGGTAGGGCTAGAGAATGTATGTATCGTTTTTGTATGCATAGGTCCGGTTTTAGGTCACGAATAGCTAATGCCTCAGCTATGTACAGATGTCGTATCCGGAGTCCTTTTGTACGATATTGAGGACTCTGTGTACCACTGTGAAGCATTCGTGTGGGGGTGCTCGATGTCCGGAGATAACAAGGTGTTCGAGGATTGAGCTGTTGCTATTCTTCTTTTCTCCTCTGGCTAACCAAGTTGGGCAGTGTTCCAGGATACGTTTGTGGACTTGACGTTGCGTACGGCCGATATACTTTGCTCCACACGAACAAGTGAATTGATAAATACACATTGAAGTGGCCAAAGGCGGTATCTTGTCCTTAACGTTAGACTGGGTGTTACGTATGCCAAGCCATCGCCTCCCTCGACGAGAAATGTTAGCGGATATAGGGTCAGGCTGGAAAAAAGCTAGCGGCGGTCAAACAAAAACTTGGCACCAGTCAATGAAATCCACAACAGTTGGTCTAAGCCACGTAGGAAGGTGTGGACTTCCAGGCTGGGGTCCTCGGGACGGTAAAAATCTATGGTTGGAAACAATTGGTGACATGGCTCAAAACCGTTCTCAGTGGCGCAGATGCATCCACTCCTTGTGACTTATGATCTCCAATGAAACTTTTGTTTTTCTTTATTACTCCTTGTCTCACATCTCTGCTCACTGTTTCTGTTATGCTTTTCTTATACTTTCTTTTCTTGCTTCGCGTGCTACACGGAATGTGGCGAATTGAACTTCCGCACATTTGTGCAAAGTTCTATGTCGAAAACAGACAGACAGACAGAACGTTAGACTGGATTAACTGTCTGCAGGAGAATGTTATACGTAGGATGGCTGTTGGGAATGTCTTCTTCAGACTTTTTGAAAGGCGGTTTCTGGGATTTCCGCTGCGATGTCACCTTTGAATTCTAGGTTCATGAAGAGAGTCTTCTTAGGAACCGTTGTGATATTTGACACCGAGGGCTTCTCCTTCATGTTTTTGTCGATGAATCTTGGCGGATACCCATTCTCTAGTAGGGTTTCACGCAATAAATTTAATTCTTTCTCCACCGTGTCTTCCGAGCAGATTTTTCTAATCCTTGAGCACAATGTACGCACAAAGTTTCTCTTTCGGGTCAGTGAAACAAAGCTCTGGAAGTTGATAAACTGTCCAGTCCATGTTGGCTTACGGTATATCGATCTTTGGATCGTACAGTCGTCTCTTCTGATGAGTAATACATCGAGGAATGCGTCGTTCGATTCGCGTTCTAAGGTGAATCTTATTGATGGATGCGCTGCGTTGAAGGTTTTCAGGAGAGAATCTAAATCACATTTTTCATCACACATTAAAAAACATATCATCTACGTATCTCTTGTATAAGTGCAGTTTACTGATCAAGGTCAAGGATGTTGTTTTCAAGACTCGCCATGAACAGTCGGCTAGGAGTGGACCAAGAGGAGAACCCATGGCTATTCCACCTTTCTGTACATAGAACTGTTCATTAAATTTGAACTGGATATTGAACGTGCATCTGAGAAGTTCCTTCAGGTAGTTTATGGGGAGAGGAACTTCTGTGTTGTTGGTTTCTATGTAATTACAAATGAAGCATATTGTTTCAGTCAGGGGGATACTTCTGAATAGAGAGGCGACATCTAGTGAGATCATTTGTCTTTCATACACGTTGACATCCTTCACTGCGTCGATGAAGTCAAATGTATCTTTGAGGCTATATTTTGTCTAACTTACAAATAGTCATCCCTTCTTACACCTCACATTATGTAGTAGAATTTTCAAGGACAAAGTTTACCAGTATCTGATTGGTCAAAAAACTTATGTGTTTAATTATAATTACGATTGTACAGCTCATGAAAATGAATCGACGAAAAGAAAATTTTCTTCGCTGTTTGTGCCTTGTCACTGAGAATAAGCGGGTCATTCATACGCAGCAATGACGACTACATAAAGTAGAAATATGCTCTGAACTAGAAATATCAGTGAACTAGCCATGTAATCATAACTCATTCTGTGAATCTTTCTGTGCTAAACATTATTGTTGTTTACCTCATAGATATTAGTTAGTCAAGACAGTTTATCCTAAACTAGTCACCAGTAATATTGTGTCCTAATTCCACACACACACACACACACACACACACACACACACTTTGGACATATAATTACGGTGAAAGTATATAATAAAAAGAAAGGCGTTATTCTCACACGGGGAAAACTTTATCTGGTAACATTTCACTTATAGGCCTCATGTATATACATAGAGAAGCCTACCTTGAACGCATTTAGCAGCAGCTTTGTGATCAGATGAACAGACAATTTCGTGAGAAGACTTCCCCGTTTTGTCCTCTTTTGGAAAAGCTGTTGGATTAGATAGCACAGTTGATAAGTCAGTCTCGCCTATATCATCCCAATCGCTGCCGCTATCCTCATCTTCATCATCATTACGACCGATGAAATCATTGATCTCCTTCTCAGTTAACTGAATGTTATCAGATCGTCGCATCACAACTTTACTTTAAGTGATCAATCGATGGTTGTATCGAATCTGGAATGGAAGAGAAATCGTCACAAGGTAGTGTTAACAAAATGATGAAGAGTCCTAACTATTTTATAGGTTTTGAAGAGAAATGCAAATATCACTCCTAAACATGACAGGAAAGGCGAAAGTTGCTTAATTCAGACTAGCTCATAAATAAAAGCTACTAAAGACGATTAGTTGAATGCTTCACATAACACGTAGTTGATCCGGAATTCGTCTTCCTCAATAAGACATGACTGATTCGGCGTTGTCAGTGATTCTTCTGTGTTATTCCAAACTATGCTATACTGGATAAGTCAGGTGTTGTAGACAATATTCTGGAGAAGTAGTTCACTAGGGAGATTGAGTTGCCGGCAGTGAAAGGCGATTTAGTCAGTTAGTCTGTCGTATGATTCCATCTGGGACTAGGTAAAAGGAAATCAAAAAATCAACTAGCTGTGCAATGAACCTCGCTAAACCACTGGAAGTAGGCTACGTATTGAATTTTTTGAACCCACACACAGTCTGTCACCTCAGATAATGGTCTACCAATCATTACAAGACAAATTCAGGCAAACTCTGCCCACTGAGTCCTGAACGACTCAGGAGTTTTCTAAGGTCTAACATACAAACCTATACATATCACAAGGTTGCACACTGTGTTGTTGCATACAAACGCTTACTCAATGTATATATGATAACTAGTAGGATTCTCTTGACTAGGCTTCGACAATTATACAACTAATCTAGACACTATTGACATGGGACCTGGCAATATTCCCCAGTGGCTGAAGTTGTCACGTATCTAAAGATAGGGTAGAAGGTTGGAAGAGACAAGAGAAAAATAGCACAACTAAAGGTTAGAAAAGATATGACATAAAAATGAAAAGGTAAGGTTAACAAATGTAGCGTAACAACTCGGATGAATGAAATTCAGTGTCGCCGACTGTAAGCCATATCATCGCCAAGTGTTTCCAATCATAAATTCCGTTTGTCACGTAAACCCTGACCATGCCACCTCTGAAATCCCCACATATCTTCAACACACAGTGAACGACCACGCCTCCGTGTCGTATTCTTAATATCTTCTTTACTTTCTTTCTCCCCGCACATATTTAACTCTACTAACTTCGCACACTTTGGACGTATGTCAAATGTGAGCGAACTACATCAAGCGACACAGGCCTTTCACTCTCGTGACTTAAGTATCTATATTACAAAAATTAATAACCTAACTTTAACATTGTTCATGTGGTGATTAGACTAAGCACACTCCATGCGTACACAGACAACAATGGTTAAATACTTGAAGTCTTCGCAGATTTTCTACCCTTCTTCATGACTATGTTTAGCAAAAGCTTTGCAATCACTTATCAGCGGGTAAGTAATAACCACTCAACTAGGTTAGCGACAGACATTCAAGATTCTAAAATCTGAACAACTATTCCGTTTTGTTCAACTGAAAGCGGTTATTATTATGTAAACAATATTTAGGGTTATTTCCCGTAAATCGTCACTCCAATAAACAAATAAAAAACACGAAAAACAAATGTCCTCATCAGTGTAGGGCACATACATGTGGAAAAGCCCTGTTAGTGGAAAATGCTTGACATACGCCCAAACGACTTCTACTCTCTCAAACCTAATGCTGTCTCAGTGATTATATCGACAAAACATACAGATGTGAAACTAGTGCTTTATTTCAAAGCTGACATGCACACATTAATAAATTCCTAAAATATACGGACCATGCTGTAAACTAATATCAAACACTAAGAACAGTAATCTAAGACTTAAAGACTGTAGCCTAATAATTTAACACATTCCAACATCAGTTTAAGAACAAAGTCTAAGGAGGTCATTATGTTACTTTTCGGTTCTAAAAGCCTCAAAGTGAGGCAAGATTCCAACCTCTAATCTCATTTCTACTAAATACTGCAGCTACTAAAACAAGCCATCATTAAAATCCTAACAGAAGTATAACACATAAGCTAGTAACCGAAAAAAGCACTGTTTGATATACAATGTTAAGAACATGAAAGTATGAATGCGAATGAACTGCAACCGATTCAGAACTATTTTACCTATCCCTTCATTCAACAACAAGCCTTTGCTATGTTCCAAATCTTATCTAACATGTCACATTATTTGGCATGATACCACGTATTACCAAAATGCAAACGATATCCTTGACTAACAATACTCAGACTTATACACATATCAAAATGTTTACCAAAAGCATGAATTACTACGAGGTGAAAACGACATCTAGTCATGTGCTGTGTTGAATGAAGCCAAAGCAAATTGTTAGTAAATCGACATCCTCAGTAAAGAAGATTTCCAACTGATAAATACGACTTAAATATTCTTGCAATAATAAATCCACACACTTGTATGTTGATATTGTTTTGCATGATAAAAATCAGTGTGAAATCAGATTGAGTGCAATGAGTGCTTTCATCTGCAACATCATTAATGATTTCCAATCACATTAGTTGAACGGATCATAAAGGAGTCATGTACGTTCCCACATAAGCCTCAAACCCCAATATATTATTCTCATAAAACCCACACAATGTTGCAGTTTGTTAACAATCGATCTGTCACACCGATATAAACTCGGTCTTTATTTTAACTGCAATGGAAAATTTTAGCCATGTTCATATTCCACTTATCTAGCGATTTCCAACATCGGTGATCGGATGGTTTAGTTTCTTTGTTTTTCACCCTATAGCCTCGAAAATGACATACAGTGTGGCAACTTGGGCCATTATGCAATATTACCAGGTTTAACTACGTAACTCTAGATGTAACTACATATTAATGAGAGAAATGCGAACTACACTTGAAACCTTTTTCACCCTAACCGTTGAACGGACGCAGCAAATTAATACTCTACAGTGAAATAGACCTGTATACTTTTTAAAAAAAATGTTACTTCTAAGCCATTGCACTGAAAAGAAAAGGTTCGGGGTACTGAACACAATTTCTACTCACGTCATTTTAAGGAGATTCTACTAAACCACTTACTGCAGAAATACAATGAACGAAAGAAGACGAAGAAGATTAGTAAGGATCATCAGGATATTAGAAATACAGAATTAAGAAAGTATATTACCCATCAACTATTTAAGGCATCCAAGTACTATGGATACCATAAAACCCTGAACTCATCCCTCCCCACGATTGAAGAATAATTTGTGCAAATGTACATATCTGCGTTAACGATAATCACTTGGCTAATTATTGTGATTTCTTCTCTACTTCTGTGATAAGTTGTTAATTACTAAGTATTTTCATACTTTTCTCCAAACAAGTTTTAGCTCTAAACAGTATTATCAGATTTTGAAAATAATCTTTCAGCACTCCAATGACTCAGTAATTGGTTGGCGCCGCTGGAGTCGGCATACAAATGCATTATTCCGAATCATGAAGATGACGACAACTTCCAGAATGCCCAAGAGTAAACGAATCTGAGCAACTTCTAACGCTCCTGAAGCATATAACCAAAACTCTTCAACTACTGGTCCTTAGCACCTCACAAAATTCATGACATATTTTCATGGAACAGACCACAACTTGTTTTCAAACTAATTCAACCGCAGTCAACACCGCTGACCAAGGCAGAGAGGTAGTATCCTACAATCAGTGACACATGTTGCAGATGACATTCGGTAAGGATTCATTAGGTAATTAACTCACTAACCTTTGTCTCAAACTAAACCAAACTCTAGTATCACCTATTATATGTTTTCACTTCACGTGGGACAACAACATACACGGCTGAAAACACAGTTCTTTGATATCTGCTGGTAGGTAATTGAAAAACGGTGCCTCGCGCAATAGACGTTTCATTGAGCAAGTATATTTCTAATTATTCAGCGAAAACATAACATCTTATAACTACTATGAAAAAGAGACGAAGCCTGATGGCCATTCAAAACCTTGTGACACAGCTAATAACGTATTCCTAATGCATATAATCAAGTATGACCAACAAAATTGACTCTCAGACTTATGATTAGAAGTACAGCATATAGACTCGTAGTCTTAAAGCAGTCTCCACCTGAAAGTTAAAAACATTAATGTGACATACGTATAATATTTGTTTACAAAATCTAATCATGAACACACCAAGAAAAGAAGTCAGTGAAACAGTTCATAAACATTTAATTAACACTGCATAACATTATTTGTATTGACGAGAAGTTATCAAACCATTCGTCATTAAGAGAAAAAGTAATCGAGATCTGATACTTACAGAAAATACACACTCGTGAAATGAAGAGAAAAACAATTGACATAGATATTCTCTGCAAGAATTGAAGTCATTCATAAAATACAAATCACAACGCAATTATTACTCTCAACATGTCTACCGAGAGTAATAACTACTATTGTTACGATCACGTTGAACAGACGGTGTTCCAGGGCCAGTATCTGATAAATTTACTAAGCCCGATCCATTGCTCTGGGCACTAAGACACTCACGTGAGTTTTTAAGAGATTTGAGCACACGTTGATAGCCTCCGTGCACATCAGGAAGATTTTCATATGGCCTGTAAGGCTGGACACCAACACTAAACGCTTCCAAACATGGACGCTTTGAAGCTGACACTGTTGAAACAGATGACTGGTCAGCGCTTTCATTAGGAGAATCACTTTCAACCGTCAGCGGATGAGACGGTGTAGTTGTTCCTTGTTCGGGTTCATTGACCAAGGAAGAATTTTCAGTAGGACGAACTCCACTTTTATTTGCAATTTCTTCGTCTCCTGAACTGTCGGAATCGGTCTCACCAGACTCTGAACCGGAAAGTATTATAACGGTCTCAGTTGCTTCTTTTTTACTACAAGCTGGCGAATCGATTAAAACGAGCAGAACATATTCACTTAAAAATCAATTAACAAATACTATAGGTAGATGTATATAAATATGATCACTCAGTATGCGAATCAATTTAGCATCCTAAACATAAGTCCATATTAACGACTTACTTAACCCAAAAGAACATAATTATGTCTTCGCCTCTCCATAATACGTGGAACAATCAACAGTGACTTTCCCCAACTACACAGCAATCACTAAAAGGTCGTTTACCACTCGATTACTTGGAAATTTCATTCTTTTGGAAGCAAACAACTAAGAATTTCAATCAATAAAACACACACAGACGTTGTACTACTACTCATAGAAAATGTCCTGCTGCTCCTCGCATATCGCCTTGTTATTACTTACCTGCAGCTATCTCATTGACTTCTGTTGTGAATTGTTAGTCGGTCATACTTGTGAAGTAGTTTCAGGCTGGTGACACTAGCATTTCCCACCGCATTATAAGGCATTTCGTACATAGACGTCATCATGTCAACTGAAGAAACAGGCCAGGTATAGCGAGACTTCATAGTCTTCAAAAATAGATCAAGCTACGGAGTCAGCATGTTACTACTACTGTATTCGCATTAACTTTCCTGCCTACCCTAACACAAATGTCGAACAGACATTCGTCGAGCGTTCCACATAAGTGCATCACTGCAATTTGTTATAGTAACAGCCAAAATGAATTTCAGTGAAATAAACAAAAAGCAAAGGAGAGGAGAAAAGCCAATTACAAACGTGAAACACAGAATACATCCGTGTCACCTTGATAAACTCCAAGCTACACTCTAGCAATCTCAACTTCCCCAAATATCTCAGATATATCATCAGACGTCTCATGGACTAGCACCTGGAGGGTTGTACACCTTAGTAGATTTTCCTATCCTTACTTGCTACTAAATGTCTACCGAATAACCAGAAACATCTTCGTGTCTAGTCAGTCATAAACAGGGGAGGATGTATAGCACCAACTAACACTTCGTAACAATGAAACTTGTTTAGAACGTATTTATATTTTCGGAAAGACAGTAATTCTTCACTCTAATGCCACACATATAAAAACAATCCGAAGATATATTACACGTGAATTTAGATAGGAACACCTGACAGCCGGAGTCCGCTCAATTAGCTGTTTTCGTTATTGCAATATACATAACATACTAGACATAACACATATGTATATATTACAATACTACAACCAGTTTCTGAAGCAGACTCACTACTAAGTCAAAGTGAAGATCTTCGATAACTCCAACGGAATACCTACCAACATGTTTTCTAAGTGCACACCACATTTTCGTTTTGAAGAACACAGAATACATACAAATGTGTGCACATACAAATGCATGATGATACTCCATTAAGGTCAATAGTCCTCCAGAAACCAATTATCTGTCAACATAATTTGTTGGGTACTTCCTACACACAAGCCCGATTACCACATCAGGGTGGCATTCACCATCTTGGTGTAATTACTATATTTATGGTCTGATAAAAATTGGAAATTAGTTTATTTGCTAGTCTATTAACAACTCATATACTTATGAGAAATTTATTTCTATGAGGTGAGACACGATTTTGAGATCGCTACAAAGGAAATCGACCCATTATAAAATCCTCTAATAAATTTTACAACGTCCAACGCTATAGCACATAATAACACTTACATGGATACTTGTTATTTGACGTGGCTACGTTACATCTAACAGCCTCATTTGACAGCGAAGAGTAAAAGTTATCCAACATATGATGTTTCTGCATTGAAGGACATTTCAAATAACGACAGTCATCTCTGACAGAAGGATCTAACTCAACGTTGAATCCAGGGTAGCGAACAAGAGCACTCTTATTATAAGACACTTTACCTACATAAAGTCCACACAATGATTATTACACACTTATATGTTACATAAAACAGCAATTAAATTAAATCAAATTGAAAATACACTCAGATAAATTATTTTTATTTTTTTTATTTTTGATTTACAGCTTGATTTCACACTGTATTTTTGGTACAAGTGTGGAATTTTCAGAGTGGATATCGGTAGCCCAAATTTTGCAGGCCGACCATAGATATCAGGTGTGCGCCGGCGTGGGCTCGAACCCCGGACCATGTGCATGGTCGGCGAAAGTCCTAACCACTGTGCCACCGACGCATCTCCAGCGGAAAAACGAAGATGATCCTGGTAAAATATGGTCCTAATAAATGGTAACAACCGTCATTTTATCTGTTCCCACCACCAAAATTATAACTTTGGGGAGGCAATAATATATGAGTGAATTCAATTGTGTATCCGACACTGACTACCTGAAAATGTGCAAAGAATATTACACTTAATATAAAGATTGTGGGAAAGCCTCCAGTTTGTTGGTAGTCACACTACGAGAAGCTACCAAACACGGTAGGATGAATGCATAGAAATCAAATAAAAACTCCATCTTCACATTTCTGAATGATCATGCCTTAAGTCAATGAGAAATGCATAAGTCAGCTGAAAATCCTAACAGTCCGTATGCAGAATTCCAATACTCTAATGAAAGCAACATTCAGATGGGCGGTGCTGAATGAATATTAGCAAATCCCTTCAAATAGCACTTTTTGTGATATTTGCTTGATAAAACAACGAATAGACAGTTCAGCCAGTCATTGTGGCGTTACAGTATGTTCAAACACTTCAGTTACAACAACGTATTTCAGGCTCAGACAATTCATTGAAGCATTATTACACTGTTAACACAAATTGAAAATACACGTACAGTAGGTCATTATGTGAACGGCAAAGATATTATGAAAAGATCACCTGAAGCGCCAAACTTTTTTTTATGATAGCTTCACCCCACACCGTAAATTCGGTACAAGTATGGAATTTTCAGCAGGTGGTATCGCTAGCCCAAATTACGCAAGCCGACCATAGATATCAGGTGTGTCGGCGTGGGCTCGAACCCCGGACCATATGCATGATCGGTGAGAGTCCTAACCGCTGTACCACCGACATCATAGTACTGTAGACAAATCATAGCAAATGCAGAAATATTACACTGGAATTTAAGAGGAATTAGCCGAAAACAAGCTCCAAAACAAGATGCAGTGTTTGTGCGTAGTCACCAGTGAGATATGCACAACCGTGAAGAAACCTAAGTTCCCTACACGACTCAAACACTCATCATTCACTCAGAGGATATGCTTATGAGATATTCAACCAAATATTAACGTTTCGTAAGGACGGGTGGTGTGTTTGAACTGGCCAGTCAATTGATGGTAACTCATCTTGCTATCAAACCTCGTGTCGAGTAATCATCAGGCCACTGACACATGATTGAGCCGTGAAGTAATTCGACAGAAGTTCAAACGGGAGACGCAGATCTGCACATGCGATTCCAGACTAAATCACCAAGTGAATTCACCACATCCAAACTGTGACTTGGCATCGAATCGACTTCCTCAATTAACACTCCAGATTATGTTTGAATAAATCTGGAAGGTCTTTTATATGAAAATTGATGAGTATAGCCAATTCCAAGCATTGATTTTCAGAAGAGAAGATACGTTTCGACATACTACTTGTTGAATTATACGTACAATGGAAAGATTTCTTCGGTTTTGTAAAGGAGTGAGGTAGGTTTCACGTTGTTGTCAAGTTGGCCAATTGGCCAAAGATAACAAAACTAAGTGTAGATTGTTGGATTCGGTAAGTATATAATATTATAAAAGCGGCGTGTGTTTACATACTGAAATTGCTTATCACATTCGTGTTGATTTTGTCATTTCATGGGGGAGCGGGGCGCTGTAACCAGGTCAAATTCTGTTTTAGTCCATCATTCCTATTCAGACTATTTGGATTCCATTTGATGTGAAGTGCTTCTGATATTAGGCGTTCTTTGTAATTTCTGAGATTTTTCGAGATTATTTCAATATTGTTAAAATCAATTTTGTGTCCTGATTCTGTAGCGTGTAGGTAACATTTCACGTATACTCACTCCAAAAATACGGTTAAGTTGATGATAATTTTGTAGTGCTAAAACGAGATCTACACAGTTCATTCTTGGAGAAACTGAACAGTCTGTTCCCCAGAATCCAGTTTACTTCGGAAACAAAATCAAACGTCGGTGAACTACCATTTCTAGACTGTCTAGTTGAGAGGAGGGAAAATGCACATTTTACTATGTATATATTCAGGAAGAGAACCGACTCCAACAAACAGACTTCAGATCGTTACTCCCCATAAGCGCAAAGGTATCAGTTGTATCAAGCCTTCTTAGATGAGCACAATCTTTGATAACGGATGAAAAAGAAATACCAAACATTACTAAGACTCAAGCAAAACAACTACCCAAAAAACTTCATCACCAAATGAGCACTGACATTAAGTGTGGTCGAAAACGTATTCCTAAACATGGACCTCAACAGTTGTCATTCCATATAAAGCAGAGACGTCAGACAATATCGGAAGAGTACTCAATAAGCACGACATCAGAGTTCTCTTTCAAATATCAGACACACTTCAAAGTAACCTTGTCCATATAAAAGACCAAATCCCTAAAGATTCTCTATCTGTGTCTGTAAAATAAAATGCTTGGAATGTGAAGCGATCTGCATCGGACAAACATCGCGAAAAATCATGATCACGAGAAATGGACACCGTAGAGTTGAACTAGAAAAGCTCGTAAAAGTATCAGCCATGGGTCTACACGTTATAGAATCAGGACACAAAATTGATTTTAACAATATTGAAATAATCTCGAAAAATCTCAGAAATTACAAAGAACGCCTAGTATCAGAAGCACTTCACATCAAATGGAATCCAAATAGTCTGAATAGGAATGATGGACTAAAACAGAATTTGACCTGGTTACAGCGCCCCGCTCCCCCATGAAATGACAAAATCAACACGAATGTGATAAGCAATTTCAGTATGTAAACACACGCCGCTTTTATAATATTATATACTTACCGAATCCAACAACCTTCACTTAGTTTTGTTATCTTTACCAATTGGCCAACTTAACAACATGAAAATCACCTCATACTGAAGAACGATGATTAAGTTGTTGTGTGTAAGCTGGGAATTTGTAAATTCCGGTTCAATATTACTTTGATAAAGCTAGTAACACTAGTTGGCGAAAGGTCAGGGAATACAATGAAGATTTGTTTATAATTCATTGGAAAATGCAAATAGTTGTATTGCAATGAATATCACATACCGAAGGTCCGAATTTTTTTCAAGCTGGTAAAGTAAACTTAGTTTGGACATATACAATGTAAGTATTTATGATTCAAGTTTATACGGACGATTTCATATATAACTTACTTGGACCTGTTGAGCCTTCAAGGCTAACTGAATCAAAAATCTCCAGGTTACCACTAACAGCAGCTTTCTTCAACCATCCGGGAGGATATCCTAAGGATCTCATTCGATAAATATGAATAGGAATATCATGTCTCCCCAAACCCAGTGCCTTTCTTAATTCTCGCCTGAATATTATCGATAAACAGTACTTGGTACTCACGAAATTCTGCCTGGCCTAAACCGACTTAAAGAGTCTGCTAAGTGATAGCGCTTTCCGTGAGCTGGTTTTCGGCCCATGAATTCTGTAGAGTTCCTTGCACCTGTCGTCTCGTTCGGTGGCAAAATATCGTACGCGACATCGAGTCTTCTCTCATTCCTGAATATAATTTAGTTTCCATGTCAGAAATTACAATTCAGAGCCGGATTTATCCACGATAAATAATCCATCTTCGGCGCTAGTCATCATGTGGCCAGGATCCTGACAGAGGATAGCGACACAAATGGCTTACGGGGCAATGGATAAAGGCACACACGACCTTACGGAGAGGCTGAGCACTTCAAGGTCACATATGCATATTGTGATTGGTAGATTTTCCTTAGCATAAACCTTGCGGCTAATACGGGTTGAACGTTACTGAGCTGGGCTTTGAAATAGCAATAATATAATCGGATAGATATTATATTTTTTAGCTTTAGAAGTGGTGTCTGAGACCCCAACTGATTCCAATATCCAATATCGTTTTTACGAGCTAGTATAAACCAATTTGATTTCTTTATGCTCGCTTCTTGATTGTAAGGTATAGGTTCCTGATCTCCGGTAAACTTCTGCGTAGCTTGTCCCGCCACTCGACTGTTGTAGCTTTGGTTGACTCCAAAGGGAGTAGTGCTGGGATTAATTATATGTGGTTTGTAGTATGAGGTATGTTAAGACTGGTACTACTGTGATTGGAGTTGATCCTTTCGCCAGTTAGTCCTTCGGTATCGTCGACAAGAGGAAAGAGATAGTAATAATAATAGATAAAATTAGTGAAGTTATTTAGACTGAGAGACAGAAACGGAAATAGGAAAGCGTAACAACAGTCAGCTCATTAAGTTTGAAGAATAATATATATCGGTGATAGTAATAGTAATAATAGTAATTATAATATTAACAAGTTGTCAGGAGAGTAAGACGGGAGAGAATGTAACGAAGTAAAGCGACGAGTTTAATTGTCTACCCCTGAATGGTGTATGCGATTTTAAGGAGATAGGCCATTTGGATGCAGTCCTTGTGTCGCTGCATGGTTGTCCAGCCTTCGCTTAAAGGCATCCAAAGACGGTGCCATAGCTACATCTGCCGGTAAGGAATTCCAGGGACGGCGAACCCGCAGTGAAAAGAAGTGGGAGCGCACCGGCTCCTTGCCCTCTGGTGAGCTATCCTTCTGGGGTTTCCACGTGGGAGCCTATACCCACTCAATGGCAGAACACCTTTGTTTGGGTGATTCTGGTTATTTGTTATTTTGAAGGGGCTGGAAAACCACAGAAATCTACTAGAAAAGGATTAACATAGGCTCTGAGCCTTCTATCCTCAACCAATAAACCTGAAATCTTAAGGGAATAAGTTAACATGCGCATAAATTTCACAGATGTGGCGAAGTACAGGAATAGCGTCCCAGGAGTGTGAACGCTTAAATGACCTTGAACTCCTGCTAGTCATTGGTTGGAGGAAACTTACCATTATTCTAGCGCGAATACGACCCATGTTCATCTGCTCAGATGCAAATTTCGGCCAGAGCACGTATTTCAATACTGCCTAGATAATGGATTAATGGGACGTACTCGGATATGTACTTGTGGAGCTTCTATAAACCTGCAGCCGTATACCCAAGTCATTGATGGATATATATATATATATACATATATATATATATATATATATATATATGGATGTACACAGTGAAGGAAGCGAACAAGTGTTCGTACTGGTAAAAGACACTCTCAGTTGACTGCCTTTTAGGAACTTTCTTTGAAAAATCGAAACTTTCGTTGACCAATATCCTGTTTCTGTGCCGTTTCTAGATTTTAAGGACCGAAGTGAGAAAAACTGCCACTCAAACAGATAATACGTTAACGTCTAATGCGCAATGGATCCAGGTGTGTCGAGATTTGGCATCCTGGAAAATGAACAGCATCACACAAGTGTTGAGAGGAGTCGGTGTTGTAGTTCATTTCGATGAAATGGTGCTTATAAAGAAGACGTGCAATCGAGGACATGCTAGGGCAAATAACGTTTGGGTTCTATGAATTTACGACACCCAGATTTGGAAAGAATTCACCGTTTTTTCTCCAGGTATTCCAGATGTGATAGGCATTGGATTCAAATACAAGAAGAGTATTACTGGGTAAATTAATAGAAGAAGGATAAAGTTTGAATATTTGATGTCCTTCAGTTGGTTATAACGGATTGATAAGAGTCACTCGTATAATATTTGCTGTTTACGGAAGAGGAAGTGTATCAGTTAATTTGGAAGTTCCACAGTTTTTCAAATCTATAGTGGAATATATGGACGACTAATCAGCAAGAGAAAACAATAGACACTAAAGCTGAATGACCTTGATTTGACCAATCAGATAGCTCAACATTGTAAATGAATGCTTATCACAATCCTGACTAATAATATATGTGTAAAATTTGGTAGTAGGTAATTTAGTAACGCCAACTAAACTCTAAACTACCTAGCGAACGAACAAATGACCTTGAGTGATCATTTAAGTTACTCCGTAATTTCCGGACGTACTTATGGGCGCTGTACCCCTTTTGCGTTGCAAATAGCTCCAGATCTCGTTTATGATAACAGTTTGGAGAATGGACTTCTAAGAAGATCGAAAAATTGCCAATTTAGAGGTTTCACTTATGTGCAAAGATACACTAGGTGCATCGATGGGTTTGTTTATTGGTGAAATGAGGGCTGAACAAGAAAATCAATTCGAGAAGGTATGTTGTTCGTTTTTAGTCAACAGACTTTTTGGGTAATTTTGATAATAAGAAAATATAATCGAGGGAGATTGAGTGCGAATCAGCAACAGGTATTGGGGGTATATGACACCAGCCTCCAGAAGGGATAAATTGAGGCGATCCCTAATCGCAGTGCAGGTGTATTATTGCTTGTTATCCAGCGCTTAGTGCTGCCTGGGACGACTATTCGTGAAGATGAATGGAGTAGTTACAGTTAGTTATCGAATCTGGGCTATATTCATCAATTTGTCAACCATACAGTGCGGAAAATTAAGCGAGGTATTGCCTTACGCACTACAATGCGCTTGCAACAATCCTAAAATACCCATGCATTTGTAAGCCTAGGAATCATGTCAATGTAGTTGCAGATTGAACGATCAACTCATGGTCGTTTGCTCAAACACAAATTCCCTAAATTTTCGCGGAGACATTCGATACACCAGTCATCGTCTCATCGGTCGCTGTTCAGAAAGAAGTCAGGCGAAAACCGTCAGATGTAATATTCTGATTTAATATTATAATATTTGTTCATAGACCTTAGTTTTGAATCTTAGGTTAAAGCTTAATTTTAAAGTTGGCTATATGTTGGTGTTACAATAAAGAATCCTCGAGTAGCCAATCAGTGTTTTGGTTGTGCGTCCGTCATTACCAGGCGTTTCTGAGAAACTTCAAGGAACAGCGTGAGTCCCAGTGTAGCAAGAGCTGGGCATTGATGGTTACGAGACGTGGCTGACAGTTTTGGAAACAGATTCTGACGGATTCAGACAGTTGGTGACAGTTTGGATAGTCACCGTTCATTTCTCCTGGTGCTGGTCAAGTCCTCTTTGAACAAGCAATATCTAGATCTATTTTGGAATTGGGTCAAGTTCAACAATGCCTGGATCAAAGAAGGGACAGAGTGTCTTGGATGCAAACAGGAAAGTAAGTCATGTTGACTTGTCTGTTAATTGTAACGATGTGTCTGATGTTAAGCATGACATGGTTGATGTTACTGTTTCGCCGTTCAGGGATAATAGGAACATCAAACTCCCTAAATTTGAACCACGGTGTTTCGAAGGAAACCCAGCTGATTATTTACAGTTTGTAAGGGAATTTGAAATCATGTTAAGTGGTATTTTATTAAATGATGAAATGAAGTTAACGTATTTGAGGATGGATTGCACTGGAGATGCTGCAAGAGCGATAAAGTGCTGTAAGTTTATGAAGCCAAGAGAGGGCTACTACGAGGCTATGAGCATACTACGTCAAAGGGTTGGAAGACCTTCGATGATTGTAGGGAAATTATTCGAGGCTGTTAAGGGTAACGGCGGTCAATTACAGGATGATTCCCAGGCTCTCACTGAGTTTTTGGATAATCTGTTGACTTAAAAGAATGCATTGACTTCGATGAATTGCATGAGTGACCCCAACTCGAGTATTATCCTAGAAGTAATAGCAAGACGCCTACCTACTCGACTGCAAAGGAAGTGGGTGAAGATAAGCTCTCGTATAGAGGATGAAGGTATTGAGCCAAAGTTTGATGATATTCTGAAACTGGTAAGAGATAGTGTCAATCGATCTATGAGCAAGTTTGCCAGTATATTGTATCCCACCCCTAGAATAGAGCAGTCTGAGAGCGAAACGCAATCATTTATGACGAAAGGGTCTCAGAGAAGTGGATATCGAGAAGGCTCTATGGTGTCTAGTAATGTATATAGACTTAGAGTGTGTAATAGCTTTCGTGGTACATCCTCAACAGATAGGTCAGAAGTTGCAAGATAAACACGGTTATGTTTTACACGTTTGCAGGAGGTGCATACAAAGATGAACTGTAAATCAGTGAGCAAGTTTAGTGATAAGCTAAGTGTGAAATCAAGGTCTGACTCCGAATTGTGTAACGATAATAGCGCGGTGAAGAAGCCTGTAGTTGCAATTAATAAGCCATTGTTGAATAGTATGCCACAGAAGAGAGTTACATTTTCAGAGTCCAATTCTGACCCCATAAGTTTACAAGGTATTACTAGTCAGAGTGAAAGTATGAAACCTTTAGGGATTTGTGAGAAAGAACCCAAATCATCCACTGCTGTTGTCATAGAGTTCAAAAATGATGAAGTCGACCAGATAGATAACGGTAAATTGAATATTTGTGATAATGATCATGATAGCGCACATTTGTCTTTGGTTGATCATGATGAAATGGGGGGAATGCCTACTACTGCTAAGTTGAATAAAGGTTCTGTACAACTACAACGTGAAGTAGAATTGAATGCAGATGCAATTGCAGAAGGTATGGATACTTTTGAGACCGTCAGTGTAAATGATCAGAGTGAAGCCCACCTATCATCAGATGCTAGCGCTAAAGCGGAGCTGATAGTAAAAGACAGCAGTGGTGGTAATCTTGCAGGTAGACAACTTTCTGAAAGCCGAACAACAACAGCTTCTGATCCACCGATAAGTTCATCAACTGGTATCAATCAGTTGTCGTTGGTGTT